TTTTTTTTTTTTTTTTTTTTTTTTTTTGAGACGGAGTCTTGCTCTGTTGCTAGGCTGGAGTGCAGTGGCACAATCTCTGCTCACAGCACCCTCCAGCTCCCAGGTTCAATCGATTCTCCTGCCTCGGCCTCCCAAGTAGCTAGGACTACAGGGGTGTGTCACCATGCCTGGCCAATTTTTGTATTTTTAGTAGAGATGGGGTATCATCATGTTGACCAGGACGATCTCGATCTCTTGCCTCATGATCCTCCCACCATGGCCTCCCAAAGTGCTGGGATTACAGCCGTGAGCCACCGCGCCCGACCTCTTGTTGATTTTTCTTTTCTCATCTTTATACAATCTTTCTTAAGGATATATGGCAAGGAATGGCATGAGAAAGGGGACTTGTATGCTAAAGCTTAAGGAACCATTTGAGCCGAACCATCTGGGGATAAAATAAGTTGTGAGAAATGTATTCCAAGTCTTTGGGATAAAGATGAGGTTGGTTGCAGATTCAGGCTTGCTGCAGTTTTAGCTCCAGGCTGAACTACATTTCATAGTCCAAAGAATAGTTGACAGTGTGGGAGTGGTGTCTCCTAGGTAGGAGGGAAACAAATTGCTGCTGAAACCTTTCACAAAACTGGGTTATGCAGATGACCAAGGTTGTGAAAATCTGAACAGGGAATGTCAACAGCCTCCAGTTGTTGGTACTCAATTCTGTGACCTCTAGTTTTCGATACTTAAAAATGTATATATTTTGAAGTAATTATAGTTTCACAGGAAGTTAAAAAATGTGTATAGAGGTCCTGCGTGTACCCTTCACTAAGTTTTTTCCATTGTATAACTAGAGGTACATTTCTTTTAATCTGAGTAAAAGTGTGTTTCTCCACTTAAATTCAGGTTCTCCTTGTGGTACTAATTGTAATATAATCCAGATCTCAAAGTTAAACTTTTTTTCACCATTGAGCTTTCTTTATGAGCTCAAGAAAATTTATCTCTCTCAGATATATGTGTGCTGACTGATCCTAGTGGGTTGTCAGACCTAATAAACTTGTAAGTAAGCAATATAGGAAGTTTCTAGAAATAGTTGGTACACTGTTTATTCACTAACACTTCTTTTAATACTCTTTTGCAGTCTACTTATAAAAATATTGTATATTCACTGTACCTATTTAGAAATGAATATATAAAAAAGAATTGGCCAGGCACTGTGGCTCACACCTGTAATCTCAGCCTTTTAGGAGGCTGAGGCAGGAGGATTGCTTGAGGCCAGGAATTTAAGACCAGCCTGGGCAACATAGTGAGACCCTGTCTCTACAAAAAATAAATTAGCCAGGCGAGGCAGGAGGATGGCTTGAGCCCAAGAAGTTGAGGCTGCACTGACCTATGATTGCACCATTGCACTCCAGCCTGGGTGACAGAGTGAGACACTGAAAGGAATCACAGGGAGACAATATAGTATAGTGAGTAATGATGGCCGGTGGAGCCAGATACCTGTAACTCTGCTACCACCTGTCTGCCCTCAGACAAGTTCCTTTATATACCTGAGCTTCTGCTTTCTCATCTGTATGGTAGACATACTAGTATATCCACCTCATAGGGTTGTTTTGAGAGTAAGTGAATTATACATAAGCAGTTTAGAGCAGCGACTAGTACATTGTAAAGTACTCTTCCTACTCATTACAGATGGCAGGAGAGCTGGCTGACAAAAAGGACCGGGATGCATCACCTTCCAAGGAGGAAAGGAAGCGATCACGGACACCTGACAGAGAGCGGGATAGAGACCGGGACCGGAAGACTTCCCCATCTAAAGATAGGAAGCGGCATCGTTCAAGGGATAGACGTCGAGGAGGCAGCCGTTCTCGCTCTCGTTCCCGTTCCAAATCTACAGAAAGGTAAAGTAACTTTGTAAGTTATTACATAGGAAGGGAGAGTATATTTCAGATTTCTTCCTTACTGGTTCTTCTGATGCCTCCAGTATTAGGCATCTGCTTTTTGTACATTAATCTGCTCTTATCCCAGTTGGACCTGCAGGTGTTTTCAGTTTTCCTTAGTGACCCAACTCTTTTTTTTTTTTTTTTTTTTTTAAGATGGAGTCTCGCTCTGTCACCCAGGCTGGAGTACAGTGGCATGATCTTGGCTCACCATAGCCTCTGCTTTCCAGGTTCAAGCCATTGTCCTGCCTCAGCCTCCTGAGTAGTTGGGATTATAGGCATGGACCACCACACCTGTCTAGTTTTTGTATTTTGAGTAGAGATGGGGTTTCTTTTTTTTTTTTTTTTGAGACGGAGCTTCGCTTTTGTTACCCAGGCTGGAGTGCAATGGTGCGATCTCGGCTCACCGCAACCTCCGCCTCCTGGGTTCAGGCAATTCTCCTGCCTCAGCCTCCCGAGTAGCTGGGATTACAGGCGTGCGCCACCATGCCTAGCTAATTTTTGTATTTTTAGTAGAGACGGGGTTTCACCGTGTTGACCAGGATGGTCTTGATCTCTTGACCTCATGATCCACCCGCCTCGGCCTCCCAAAGTGCTGGGATTACAAGCGTGAGCCACCGCGCCCGGCCAAGAGATGGGGTTTCATCATGTTGTCCAGGCTGGTCTTGAACTCCTTCCTGAGCTCATGATCCAACTGCCTTGGCTTCCCAAAGTGCTGGGATTACAGGCGTGAGCCAGCGCGTCCTGCCCAACTCTTAAGAGTTCAGAGGAACTTGTAAGATGAAGGTCCAGGTTATCAAGGAAGGTTCATCTGCGGCCAGATGTGGTGGCTCATACCTGTAATCTCAGCACTTTGGGAGGCTGAGGTGGGTGGATTGTTTGAGGTGAGGAGTTTGAGACCAGCCTGGTCAACATGGCGAAACTCTGTTTCTATTAAAAATACAAAAATTAGCTGGGCGTGGTGTGCACATCTGTATTCCCAGCTACTCAGGAGGCTGAGACAGGAGAATTGACTGAATCTGGGAGGCGGAGGTTGCAGTGAGCCAAGATCATGCCACTGCACTGCAGCCTGGGCGACAGCGAGACTGTCTCAAAAAAATAAAAAAGAAAGGTTCATCTGTTCACATAGTTCATGACCTGTCGTTGCTGTTAATACTTAACAGTACATCTCTGATGTATAAAACCTTCTTAGAATTCCCCCGTTGTTTCTGTGGGAGACACATTCTCTAATTTATGAAACATTACTTTAGGACGAGAGTATAGGAACCTTCTAGGGGCTGCAGTGAAGCAAGATACTTTGGAAATATCATGTGATTTCTTAAATTTGTGGTCTTCCAGAGAACGACGGCACAAAGAACGAGAACGAGATAAGGAGCGGGATCGGAATAAAAAGGACCGAGATCGAGACAAGGATGGGCACAGACGGGACAAGGACCGTAAACGATCCAGGTACATGAAGGAATGAGAGTGGGCTTCAGAGGAATGCTCCCATTTCTTCTTAACAGATTCTGTTGGTAGGTGTTACAGAGCACTCTTTCTTATTTATTTTTATTTTATTTATTTATTTTTGAGGCAGGATCTCACTCTCTTGTCCAGCCTGGAGTGCAGTGGTGTGATCACAACTCACTGCAGCCTTGACTTCCCCAGGCTTAGGTGATCTACCCACCTCAGCTCCTGAGTAGCTGGACTACAGGCATCTGCCACCATTCCCAGCTCTGTTTTCTGTTTTTTTGGGGTTGTTCTTGTGTTTTTGAGACGGAGTCTCACTCTGTTGCCCAGGCTAGAGTGCAGTGGCATGATCTCAGCTCACTGCAACCTCTGCCTCTTGGGTTCAGGCAGTTCTCTTGCCTCAGCCTCCTGAGTAGCTAGATTACAGGTACCTGCCACCACACCTGGCTAATTTTTGTATTTTTAGCAGAGACAGCGTTTCACCATGTTGGCCAGGCTGGTCTTGAACTCCTGACCTCAAGTGATCCATCCACCTCGGCTTTCCAAAGTGCTGGCATTACAGGTGTGAGCCACTGCGCCCAGACTGTTTTTACTTTTTTTTTTTTTCTTTTGTAGAGATGGGGTTTCACTATGTTGCCCAGGCTGGTCTCAAACTTCTGCACTCAAGCATTCTGCCCATCTTGGCCTCTGAAAGTGCTGGGATTACAGTTGTGAGCCACTAAGCCCAGCCTTTATTTTTAGAGATAGAGTCTCATTCTGTTACCCAGGCTGGAGTGCAGAGGCTCAGTCATAGCTTACTGCAGGGTTGAACTCCTGGGCTCAGGCAGCACCCCTGCCTCAGCCTCCCAAGTAGCTGGGACCATAGGTGTGCACTACCACACCTAGCTAGAGCTGTCTTTTTTAGAAGCCACATGTCTTCTTTAGAAAGTATAATAGTGTAGCTATGTGGAAGGATTACTTGAGCCCAGGAGGTTGAGGCTGTAGTGACCTATGATTGTGCCACTGCACTCTAGCCTGGGTGCTAGAGCAAGACTTTGTCTCTAAAAAAAATTTTTTTTTTTTTTTTTGAGACGGAGTTTCACTCTTGTTACCCAGGCTGGAGTGCAATGGCACAATCTCGGCTCGGCGCAATCTTGGCTCACCGCAACCTCCACGTCCTGGGTTCAGGCAATTCTCCTGCCTCAGCCTCCTGAGTAGCTGGGACTACAGGCGTGTGCCACCATGCCCAGCTGATTTTTTGTATTTTTAGTAGAGACGGGGTTTCACCATGTTGACCAGGACGGTCTCGATCTCTTGACCTAAAAAATTTTTTTTAGCCAGGTGCGGTGGCTCACGCCTGTAATCCCAGCACTCTGGGAGGCCGAGGCGGGTGGATCACGAGGTCAAGAGATCGAGACCGTCCTGGTCAACATGGTGAAACCCCGTCTCTACTAAAAATACAAAAAATCAGCTGGGCGTGTGGCACACACCTGTAGTCCCAGCTACTCAGGAGGCTGAGACACGAGAATCGCTTGAACCCAGGAGGTGGAGTACAGTGAACCGAGACTGCACCACTGTGCTCCTGCCTGGTGACAGAGCAAGACTTCATCTCAAGGAAAAAAAAAAAATTTAAAGGCTGGGTGCAGTGGCTGATGCCTGTAATTTCAGCACTTTGGGAGGCTGAGGCAGGCAGATGACCTGAGCTCAGGAGTTCGAAACCAGCCTGGGCAATATAACAAGACCCCATCTCTACTAAAAATAGAAAAATTAGCTGGGCATGGTAGTGCACACCTGTAGTCCCAGCTACTTGGTGGCTGAGGCAGGAGAATCGCTTGAACCTGGGAGGTAAAGATTGCAGTGTGCCATGACTGGGCCACTGCACTCCAGCCTGGGTGACAGAGTGAAACCTTGCCTCAAAAAAAAGTTTCTACAACATATATTTGTTAGCCTAGCTTAATGCTCCAGCATCTTGATAATTCTCCTCTGGAAACTTTGTATACAAAGTTCTTCTATTTTTTTGAGGCGGAGTCTCACTCTGTCACCCAGGCAGAGTGCAACGGTGAGATCTCACTGCAACTTCCACCTCCCAGGTTCAAGCAATTCTGCTGCCTCAGGTCCCCCTCCCTACCCCGCCAAAGTAGTGGGGATTACAGACATGCACCACCATGCCCAGCTAATTTTTGTATTTTTAGGAGAGACTGAGTTTCACCTGTTGGCCAGGCTGGTCTCAAACTCCTGACCTTAGGTGATCCGGCCACTTTGGCCTCTCAAAGTGCTGGGATTACAGGTTTGAACCACTGTGCCCTGCCTGAATACAAAGTTATCAAGCCCTGAAAGCGTAGGTTAGAACTCAAGGCAGAGGACAGAATGTTCGTAACAGAAACTTAATAGGTTCGTTTGAATTCTCTTGTAGATTAAGGTTACAACAGGTATGGGGAAAGGATTGTTGGGACTGATAGGAATGAAAAATGATGAGGGAATATGTATAGCAGTATCTTCTTGGCTTGTGGTAGTGGCCATGTAGGTTAAATTCTTTGTGTATTAAAGAGTTAAAGAGGGTGGGGCTGTGGCTCACGCCTGTAATCCTAGCACTTTGGGAGGCTGAGGTCAATGTATATAACCTGAGGTCAGGAGTTCAAGACTGGCCTGGCCAACATAGTGAAATCTTGTCTCTACTAAAAATAAAAAAATTAGCCAGGTATGGCAATATGCTGCTGTAGTCCCAGCTACTTGGGAGGCTGAGGCAGGAGAATTGCTTGAACCCAGGAGGTGGAGGTTGCCGTGAGCTGAGATAACACCATTGCACTCCAGCCTGGGCATCAGAGCAAAAACTCCATCTCAATTTTCAAAAGCAATTGCTGTTTAGAGGAAATTTTTTTTTTTTTTTTTGAGACACAGTCTTATGATGTTGCCCAGGCCGGAGTGCAGTGGCGCAATCTTAGCTCACTGTGACCTCTGCCTCCTGGGTTCAAGCAATTCTCCTGCGTTAGCTTCCCGAGTAGCTGGGACTACAGATGTGTACTGCCATGCCCAGCTAATTTTTGTATTTTTAGTAGAGACAGGGTTTCACCATGTTGGCCAGGCTGGTCTCGAACTCCTGACCTCAGGTGATCCACCCACCTTGGCCTCCCAAAGTGCTGGGATTACAGGCAGGAGCCACTGCACCCAGCCTAGAGGAAATATTTTTTTTTAATTTTTTTTTTTTTTGAGACAGAGTCTCGCACTGTCACCCAGGCTATAGTGCAGTGGTGCGATCTCAGCTCACTGCAGTCACCGCCTCCCGGGTTCAAGCAATTCTCCTGCCTCAGCCTCCCGAGTAGCTGGAACTACAGGCATGTGCCACCACGCCCAGCTAATTTTGTTGTATTTTTAGTAGAGACGAGGTTTTACCATGTTGGCCAGGATGGTCTTGATCTCCTGACCTTGTGATCTGCCAGCCTCAGCCTCCCAAAGTGCTGGGATTACAGGCATGAGCCACTGCACTCGGCTGAGGAAATATTTTTGACATCAGTAGTAAAGTCCCACTTCCCAAAAGAGATTAGTCTCAGAAAAGGAGATTTGGGTCGAAAGGGACCAAGCCCGGGCCGTAATTAGGTTTGAGCTGGCAGAATGGCCATGCCTGCTAAGAGAGCGTCAAGACATGATAGATGACCGTGGGTCAGTCTTGTTGAGTCATGGGGAAACTTCCATTCTCTTTTTGGGGCTGAACCTGAACCTCATCCAGGCTTTGAAGTAAAAATGATGTGGACCTTTCTTGCTCCTTTTCTTTAAAGCTTATCTCCTGGCCGAGGAAAGGACTTTAAATCTCGGAAGGACAGAGACTCTAAGAAGGATGAAGAGGATGAACATGGTGATAAGAAGCCTAAGGTAAAGGACAGGAAGGATTATTTTCATCTTCTTCAACTTATGCATTGTTTTTTTGATCTTTAAAGAGAGTCTTTATAGACTGAAGTTCTGTGTTTTATCTTCAGGCCCAGCCATTATCCCTGGAGGAACTTCTGGCCAAGAAAAAGGCTGAGGAAGAAGCTGAGGCTAAGGTAAGTACTTGGGGGTCTTCATCTGCTCAGGCTGCCATAACAAAATGCCACAGTTCTGGAGGCCTGAAGTCTGAGAGTGGAGTGTCAGTAGGGTTGCTTCTTCTGAGGCCTCTCTCCTTAGCTTATAAGGCTGTCTTCTTCCTCAACTCTTCACATGGTCTTCCCTCTGTACATTTGTACCCCTTGTATTGGATTAGGACCTACCCTAAAAAGGCCTCTTTTTTTTTTTCTTTTTTTTCTTTTTTTTGAGACAGAGTCTCACTCTGTCGCCCAGGATGGAGTGCAGTGGCGTGATACTGGCTCACTTCAACCTCCACCTCCCGGGCAGAAGCAATCTTCCCACCTCAGCCTCCAGAGTATCTGGGACTACAGGTGCGTGCCACAAAGCCCAGCTAATTTTTGTATTTTTTTGTAGAGTCAGGATTTCACCATGTTGCCCAGCATGGTCTCAAACCTCTGGGCTCAAGTGACCTGCCCTCCTTAGCCTCCCAAAGTACTGGGATTACAGGTGTGAGCCACTGTGCCCAGCTTAATGGGCCCATTTTAACTTAATCACCTCTTTGCATGCCCTGTCTCCACATATAGTCACATTGTGAGGTACTGGGGGTTAGGGCTTCCACATACGAATTTTGAACTGGGTACAGTGGCTCACACCTGTAATCCCAATACTTTGGAAGTCCAAGATGGGAGGATCACTTGAGTCAGGGATTTTGAGACCAGTGTGGGCAACATGGTGAAAACCCATCTCTGTAAAATATAAAAAATTAGCCAGCTGTGGTATCATGCGTGTGTAGTCCCAGCTACTCAGGAGGCTGAGGGTGCAGTGAGCCTTGATAACACCACTGTACTGCAACTTGGGCAACAGAGCAAGAGACTGTCTCAAAAAATACATATAACACATGAATTTTTTTGGGGGACGGAGTTTCGCTCTTGTTACCCAGGCTGGAGTGCAATGGCGCGATCTCAGCTCACCGCAACCTCCGCCTCCTGGGTTCAGGCAATTCTCCTGCCTCAGCCTCCTGAGTGGCTGGGATTACAGGCACGTGCCACCATGCCCAGCTAATTTTTTGTATTTTTAGTAGAGACGGGGTTTCACCGTGTTGACCAGGATGGTCTCGATCTCTTGACCTCATGATCCACCCGCACCAGCCTCCCAAAGTGCTGGGATTACAGGCTTGAGCCACCGTGCCCAGCCGAATTTTTTTTTTTTAAAGAGATAAGGTCTTGCTGTTTTGCCCAGGCTGGAGTACAGTGGTGCAGTCACAGCTCACTATAACCTCAAACTCCTACGCTCGTATGATTTTCCTGCCTTAGCCTCCCAAGTAGCTGGGACTACATGCACATGCCACCATATCTGGCTGAGTTTGTTTATTTTTGTAGAAACAAGGTCTTGCTATGTTGCCCAGGCTGCTCTTGAACTCCTGGCCTCAAGCAGTCCTCCCATCTGGGCCTCCCAAAGCACTGGGATTATAGGCATGTGCCACTGCATCCAGTCTTAAAAAAAAACATGAATTCCATAGGGGACATATTTCAGTCAGTAACAGGGTCCAAGGCCTGTTTGTGTTTTCCTCAACAGGCTTAATGCCTGAGCAAATATTTTTGGGTTGCCTGCCATCTCCCCATCAGTGATGTGGTTATACTCTGCTCCCAGATCCTTTGTTTACAGTTCCAATCTGTTTTGTAGCCCAAGTTCCTCTCCAAAGCAGAACGAGAGGCTGAGGCTCTAAAGCGACGGCAGCAGGAGGTGGAGGAGCGGCAGAAGATGCTTGAAGAAGAGAGGAAGAAAAGGAAACAGTTCCAAGACTTGGGCAGGAAGATGTTGGGTTCGTTATTCTACCCTGTGTAGCCCCTAGATGGGAGAGGAAAGAGATGAGATAGTGTCTCTCAGGAGAGATAGAAACCTGTTCACTCTGGAGTTTGGAAAAGGGAAGGATGGTGGGAGTTGATGAGAAAACGTTTTTCTGCTAGATCTCCATTTACCCTGTATCATAAGTCTACCCCTTTTTTTCTTCATTTGGTGTTCCTCATCTGGATTCCCACCATTCCCTCTCCTCTTTTCTTCCATGAGCTCTTCTGCAGCTTTGCTCTCTTTGGTCTGCAGAAGATCCTCAGGAACGGGAACGTCGGGAACGCAGGGAGAGGATGGAGCGGGAGACCAATGGAAATGAGGATGAGGAAGGGCGGCAGAAGATCCGGGAAGAGAAGGATAAGAGCAAGGAACTGCATGCCATTAAGGTGCAGGCCTTGGCTCCATCTTCACTTCTCTCCTACACACAAAAATGAGGTTTAGTTATTTGGCCATTGTGATCTCTGCATGTGAGACCTCAGCCTCAAGGCTTATGTGCTTTGTATTCTTTCCCTGGGCAGGAGCGTTACCTGGGTGGCATCAAAAAGCGGCGCCGAACGAGACATCTCAATGACCGAAAGTTTGTTTTTGAGTGGGATGCATCCGAAGACACATCCATCGACTACAATCCCCTGTGAGTGGCTTCAGGCCTGAGTTCTATGTCTTTTCCACTAGGCAGTCCTAGAGAGCTGATGACTACAGAGGTGGAGAAAGTAAGATAAGCTGGGGTGGAAAATTGGTAGACTGGTAGTCAGCCAACCCTCTGGTAGAAAGAAGACCCTGTCCAGGAAGAACTGTTTCATATTGGCAGTCTGTCCTTCCCTCCTACTGCCGTAACAGCTCCTTCTCTTTTCTCTTCCTTTGTCTAAATCCCAGGTACAAAGAACGGCACCAGGTGCAGTTACTGGGGTGAGGCTTCATTGCAGGCATTGACCTCAAGCAGCAGAAACGAGAGCAGTCACGTTTCTATGGAGACCTAGTGGAGAAGAGACGAACCCTGGAAGAAAAGGAGCAGGAGGAGTGAGTGATCAAGGCTAGGGTGGCTGGACAGAGCCCAGTCTCTACAGAAAGGAGTTGGAGGGCACTGATCCTACTTACTCCTCACATCCTGCTCCAGGGCAAGACTCCGAAAACTTCGTAAGAAGGAAGCCAAGCAGCGCTGGGATGATCGTCATTGGTCTCAGAAAAAGTTAGATGAGATGACGGACAGGGACTGGCGGATCTTCCGTGAGGACTACAGCATCACCGCCAAAGGCAGCAAGATCCCCAATCCCATCCGATCTTGGAAAGACTCTTCTCTTCCCCCACACATTTTGGAGGTCATTGATAAGTGTGGCTATAAGGTAAGGAGGGGCAGACTGGCCCAAGAGATCTGACATGTTCCTACACTAGTTTGGGAATAGAGAACTTTATTCCTTGACTATTTGGGACCATTGCTGCTAGGGGGCATCAACCTTTTCTGTCACTTTCTGGTAGAAGTATTGGCTTTTAGTGATTATGTTTCTTGGGGTGCCCATTTCTGTGGACTGTACTTGGCATCCTTCCATTGTGCTAGCAGATATGCTTTCTACTATCAGTGGTAGCCCAGGTTGTATAATTCTGCCTGTACCTATTACTCTTTCTTGGGGTCACTGCAGGAACCAACACCTATCCAGCGTCAGGCAATTCCCATTGGGCTACAGAATCGTGACATCATTGGTGTGGCTGAGACTGGCAGCGGCAAGACAGCAGCCTTCCTCATCCCACTGCTGGTCTGGATCACCACACTTCCCAAAATTGACAGGTGGGGTCAGCTGGCACCAGCTGGAGTGGGTTTGTCTGGGTAGGAAAGATGAAAGTGACAAATGAATGTTTGGATTTTGTTTTACACCTATAATCAGAAGCTTGCTTCTTTATTCTGGGTTGAATATTAGGGAATAATTGCATCATGATATCATGGAAGTGTATGTTGCTGGCAAAGACCTGGAGAACTTTGCTATCCTGGAGTCTCTGATTTTTATTTACTTATTTTATTTTATTTTGTTTTATTTTATATTTTGCTGGCAAAGACCTGGAGAACTTTGCTATTCTGTAGTCTCTGGTTTTTATTTTTAAATTTATTTTATTTTATTTATTTATTTTTTGAGATGGAGTCTCGTTTTGTCACCCAGGCTAGAGTGCAGTGGTGGGATCTTGGCTCACTGCAGCCTCCACCTCCGCCTTCAAGTGCTTCTCCTGCCTAGGCTCCCAAGTAGCTGGTATTACAGGTGCCGGCCACCATGCCTAGCTGATTTTTCTATTTTTAGTAGAGACACGGTTTCACCGTGTTGGCCAGACTGGTCTCAAACTCCTGACCTCAAGTGATCTGCCCACCTTGGCCTACCAAAGTGCTGGGATTACAGGCATGAACCACTTTGCCCAGCCCCAGCCTCTGACTTTTAAGTGAGATCATTGCATTCTTTTCTTATCACCCTCCCCATTTCCATCACCCCCTGTAAGAGTGACTTTGTCTTGTTCTGGTTTGTGGTTGGATAAGAACCAAAGGTCACGAAACTGTGGGACACCCCATTTACCACAGGATCGAAGAGTCAGACCAAGGCCCTTATGCCATCATCCTGGCTCCCACCCGTGAGTTGGCTCAACAGATTGAGGAAGAGACCATTAAGTTTGGGAAGCCGCTAGGCATCCGCACTGTGGCTGTCATTGGTGGCATCTCCACAGAAGACCAGGGCTTCAGGCTGCGCATGGGCTGTGAGATTGTGATCGCTACCCCTGGGCATTTGATTGATGTGCTGGAGAACCACTACCTGTTGCTAAGCCGCTGTACCTATGTGGTTCTGGATGAGGCAGATAGGATGATTGACATGGGCTTTGAGCCAGATGTCCAGAAGATCCTGGAGCACATGCCTGTCAGCAACCAGAAGCCAGACACGGATGAGGCTGAGGACCCTGAGAAGATGCTGGCCAACTTTGAGTCAGGAAAACATAAGTACCGCCAAGTAAGGCTGCTTCCCTGAGCTGGGAAAAGTTGGACAGGCCAAGCTGGGTGGATTACTTGAGCTTAGGAGTCTGAGACCAGCCTGGGCAACATGGTGAAACCCCATCTCTACAGAAATCAGCCAGGCATGGTGATGTGTGCCTGTGGTCCCAGCCACTCAGGAGGCTGAGGTGGGAGGACCTCTTAAGCCTGGGAGGCAGAGGTTGCAGTAAGCTGAGATCATGCCACTGCATTCCAGCCTGGGCAACAGAGTAAGGCCCTGTCTCAAAAAAAAAAAAAAAAAAAGCCGGGCACAGTGGCTCACGCCTGTAATCCTAGCACTTTGGGAAGCTGAGGCAGGGCAATAACCTGAAATTGGGAGTTTGAGACCACCCTGACCAACATGGAGAAATCCCCCCCTGGTCTCTCCTAAAAATACAGAATTAGCCAGGTGTGGTGGTACATGCCTGTAATCCCACCTACTGGGGAGGCTGAGGCAGGAGAATCGCTTGAACCCAGGAGGCAGAGGTTGCAGTGAGCCGAGATCGCGCCATTGCACTCAGCTGGGCAAGAAGAGCAAAACTCCATCTAAAAAAAAAAAGAAAAATAGTTGTACAAATTTGTCAGCCTTCTGTTGGGCCTTTCTTGCCTTAGGTGGGCTCAGAGTACATGTTTCTAGAATGAAGTATGCCTAGGTACAGTCCTCTGACAATCCTTGGCGTGGGGGGGTATTTAGCTTAGCACTGGAAAAACTGTTTCAAAGACTCATGCTGCTACTGGGACCACAGGTGCTAGCAAATGCCCTCAGTCCTTCCTGCCATCATAAGATGCAAAGTGCCTTGATGAACAGGTACTGGGGAAAGATGGGAAGGCAGAAGACACTGTTTTCTAATGTGTTGGCTGTCAAAGCTTATACTGCGGCACATTTTAGATTCTTTAGTCTTCGGTGACAGTGGGATATATGATTATGCCTGCCTGGGTGCAAGGCTGAGCCTCCTGTTCTCATAGACAGTAATGTTCACGGCTACCATGCCCCCAGCGGTGGAGCGTCTGGCCAGGAGCTATCTTCGACGACCTGCTGTGGTGTACATTGGTTCCGCAGGCAAGCCCCATGAGCATGTCGAACAGAAGGTCTTCCTCATGTCAGAGTCAGAAAAGAGGTATGAGGGCAGCTAAGCCAAGGGAAACAGGGTGGAGAAAGAAATGGCTCTGAGAACTTCTTTCAGAGCAAGCGCAGGGCAGGGCACTTCTCTGCCCTGTTGAAGAGCTGCTGTTTTCTGGGCAGAATGTCATGGGCATTGAAGACCCTGAAAGTAGTGTTCATAGATCAGGGTTGGGCATTTCACTTGGAGTGGGAGGTATTATGCAAATCATTTTTCTCCTCTTCTCTCCAGGAAAAAGCTGCTGGCAATCTTGGAGCAAGGCTTTGACCCACCCATCATTATTTTTGTCAAC